AAGCCAACTCCATCGTGGGTCAGCTTTTAGTCACCCATCTCTTGTACACAGTTCAAGATCTGTTTAGTGCAGCATGACAGTTCTGTTTCCGAAACAGTTTTCACACCCTTCTCCTTTTTTTGGTGGACTAGGACTGAGCATCCCAGATCAGGACTGAGGAGCAGCCTCTGTTGGTGAAGCTGACTCCATTGCAGGTTAGTAATTAGTCACCCATCTCTTGTGCACAGTTCAAGATCTGTTCAGCACAAGGGGTCAGGGGTCATGGCAGGATGATCTACTTTAAGGGCTTTATAAGGTAGATGTATAAACAGAAACAGAAGGTGACCAAGTTGGGATCATGACAATTATATTTGCCATAATTTGCTGCAGAATAGACTATTGGGGTTCTGAGAGGCCAACAGCACCCCAAGTACTACCACCCCACCCTTAGTTATTCTCCTTTACCGAAGTTTAGTGTCTACATGTAAGTTGCAATATTTGTATATGTAGGACTACATGCCGTTCAAGTTGGAAAATTCACAAAATTTTTTGCATCCAATTATCAAGCATATAGTCCTCTTACTCATACCTAGTCAGCCATAATTTGGTTTTACTCTGTCAAGCTATTATTCTTTAATATTTCAAAACTGTTCAATTAGGACTAATTTGGATACTTATAATATTCAAATTAATCCTTAATTGGACAGTTTTAAAAAATTGAAGAATGTGAATATGCTGACAATTTCGGATTAACTACCAGCTATACAATTATTTCTCAGATAGTGCCGACTAACGAATATCGAATGACATAAACTGAAAAAAACAATCAAGAAATGTGTTCAGCCCGATTGAGAACCTTGTGCTGCAAACTCAGCTCCCTGGAGGAGTAACGTACTTGAATATCTCGCTAAACATTTAAAGTTGCACAAAAAGTATTAAAATATCAGAATAATCCGAAAAGATTTCAGGCTTGCTTCGCAACTAAAAATAACAGGAAGCAGAGAAAAAATGATTCAATGTATCCGTAACGCTGTGTTAAAAGTCAGTAAAAGTTTACCTTACCAGTTGACGTGAAGATTTCACGTGGTTTCCAGTTAAGAGATTATCAGCTGCTTTACGAGTCACATTTTTCATTCAAGCAACATAAACAGCAGATGACATAAACTGGAAGTTGAAAAATCTCTCAAATGCCATTTTTGCTTCTGCTGCGGTATCAGAATAGGCAGTTCTTTCCATATTCATCTTGCTATGTAACTCAAAAAGGCCGCCATATTTCATCTCGATCCCAGTAATGTTTTTTCGTTTGTGACGCAAATTGCGTCATAATACACCTGCAGATGCGCGGTAACACGCGTGTAGGAGCGCGTGTAAACCTGGCCACATGGTTAAGTTTGTCAGCCTTTTTTCTTCATTTTAGTTCTCGGAAGAGCTAAACACAAGTGTGAAAAGGACAGGAAAGTAACAAAATTAACAATTAACAAGGAGTTGGTGTGACTTTCACGACAGTCACGACAGCGAAAACAAGACTTTAGCGGACAATAATGCCACTCCGGGAGTCTACTCGCGAAATATGTACTTCAAAGGAGCGAGCATATCTTAACTGGTGTGTTACCCGCACTGTGAGCAATTCATTAAATACGAGTGCTTTGTTTCTGCATTGATGGATGGCTTTTGGCTTTCACCTAATTCTGAGAAAATGACCTACCGGAGTGGTGCAGCACATGAAGAACACATGTGCGCATGCGCATAAAACAGTGAACAGTGTAACTGTCGTATGAATGACAATGTATGGCGTGAAGATAGTGGTGTCCTTACTAACAAGACACATCTGCCGGTTAAGTAGCTAACGTTTAGGGATACTGACATAGACCAAGACAGAGTAGACGATAAGGGTTATTACACTTTGGGAAAGTTTAAGTGTTCCGGAATCGCCTAATTGTAAGGAATAACAAAATCTTTAACCAATACTGACCGTGCGGTCTAATAATTTGCAACACACTGTCCCGGTAATTCTTATGAAATTTTCATTTAATTTTTTTTACTCATCGAGGAAGCTTAGAACGATAATTTGATAACGAGACAAATAAGTCACGTTACCCTTCTCAGTTATTTCATTTATTCATTGGCAATAAACCAGGCTGGCCCAATTCAGCTGCAAGCTGGTATCAATGGGGGCCTGTATAAACAATAAAATTCTAGCAGAATATGTATAGAAATATATCACAGAATCGTCAAGAGATCGTAAACTTTGAGTGCTTGTGTAAAACCTGTGCATGGCAATTGTTAAGAATAAAGTACCGGACTGGCGTGTCGTGCGATAAGCGCGCGCGCGCTGAGACATTTAAATTTGACCAGTTCGTAAGCATGTTATGCGTACGATTTCTCGCGAGTGTGTTTTTCAGTTTTAGTCGCATTTTGGAGGTTTTTGTTTTTGAGTTTGTATTTTAAGCCGCTACCGTTTTACCGTCTTTGTACCGATTAAAAGTGCCTGCTTTTAAAGGAGATTTTCGTTATCGCTTCTGAACAGTAATCGTTATAAACCGTTATAGATGACCAGCACCCGGTTGGCTTGTTAGCTCAGTTGGTAGAGCAGAGGTCAATAATGCCACTCCGGGAGTCTCTGTCTGGTATCGCAAAGGTCATGGGTCCAAATCGCTAACGGGCCTACATTCTTTTTTCAGGCCTTATTTCCACCCACTAAATAAGTAGGGTTTAAAATATATTAAAGTTCACACGGTAACCAGCTGGACAATCAGACATGGTTTGATGCTACTCTGGTTTACAGATTTAATGAATGTAACCGAAGAAGTTACAATTCATAGACCCGTCTATGAATTGTAACTTCTTCGTTTACATTCATTAAGTAGGGTTTCTCTACTCGCTCTCATACATATCATGAAACCGCAATACACATGTATGATTTTCATATATTCAAAATTCATTGATTTATATCACTTCGACGGGTTTAATACGAACCATCATAATATGCATAATAGATGTGGCAGAGGTTGAAATATTACTTTCCTTCCGCTTCTGAATTCCCAGTTCCATTCGGCATGTAGAGCTTGCCAGGTATTTGACTACAATTCTCACTGGCTATGGTTTATAAAGGCAGTGATCTACTTAAATCCTCAAATGTAGTTATCAAGGTTGTCACTCAGTGTTGTGTAATGTAGGCTCGATTATCACCCGCCGTTCGGGAAATGAGCCTGCGCTCATCCCGGGAAGTCTTTTTCGGGAGGATCGAAGACCGGACTGGAGAAAACTGTGGAAATTGAGCTTAAGTATGACATTTTAACATATTAGAGCCGTTTTTTTCGCTTTTTAATTGTTTTCTCTTTCTTACGCATGCAGATGATGAAGAAGAGCGTCAGAAGAATGAGCTTCACAAACTACTTGCATCAGAGCAGAGAACTGTTTTGAGTCGATTGTATCTCGATAGGAACCGGCCGTCATTTGATAACGGCGTAAGTTTGGAAGCCTTTACACCCTTTCATTAATATGCATATTCTCCATACTATTATCTAAATATTTCCTATGAACTAACAAGGAGAATTTAATTGACAATCATAAGCTTCCTCAGTCAGCGATTGTTTCCTATATTCTCATTTCCTTAAAGTGTGATGTAAGAGTGATACTGAAATGAGAAATTTGATGCTGGTCATTCATAGGGATTAAAGGATTAAGTATAACTGCAAAAGTACCTTAACTAGCATTTGTCAATTCAAAGCCGAAATAATGGCAGAAAAAAGGAACAGCGCTGCTACGACCTTCCCACGCTGAGTTTGGCACAAGATAGCGCTCAAACATGGCGGTAAAAAATTGGATGCCTGTATCTTCATGGCAGACGCCAAATTCCCAGTCTCTCGATTTGTTCGTATTCTCGAAAAATTTGGAAAAAGGAATGCATTGAATTCCTTTTTTACAGTTTGAGACTGCCATTTTGGTATTTTGCCACTAAATCTAGTTATGAAAAACACCTTTCCTCCTTTCTATTAGGATCCGTTCATTGCCTGCGCAGTATCAAAAGATTTTGTCGATCGATGGAGGCAGTTCCTAAGGTAATAAGTCAGAGAGTTTATAAATAAACACTTTAAACGTAACACTCAGCGACTTAAATAACACAAGATTTACAGATTGCTTGGCACGAGAATAAGAGAAGAAAATCATATCTAGCCTGCGAACAAACCTACATTATTAGCTCTTCAGTGCGAGCGAATTCGCCCGCGAATAGTTCTGGCGCCTTGAGTGACGCGGGTGAGCGTGAGGTCTGTAATGGGTCTGGCACTGATAATCCATTATTAGTGCCAGATCCCTTTTAGACTGCTTGCTGGCTCGCTATGCTGAAGGCCCTAAACTTACTCGTTGGTGTAGAAACACTCGTCCTGCAGCACTAATATTGAAGGCCTGTCCGTATGCTAAGACAGATCATTATCGTTTCATTGCTGATCTACCAAAATCGGCACTTTGTTTTTACTCCAAGTTGGCTATAAGCAGCCGAAACATTCCTCGCGATTATTCGATGAAATGTGTGCCATATAAACGTATTCGAACAGGTTTGCTAACATCAGAGAACGTGTAATAAAATATGTGCTCATTGTTCATATTTTCGCTCGAAGAGCGAAAAAGAAGATAAAAGGAACGGCTTTTGCGCTCCCGCGTTTTTTTTTCGCCTTCCTTTGTTCGCGTGATGAACACAACAAAGGAAGAAAAAAACCTTGAGCCGCAGGCTACTCTTAACAAAGATCATTTTTACACAATCTATGTTAGCGCTGTGTATAAACTGGCTGTCTCACAAGATTCTCTCAAATGTCAAACGATAACTATGGGATTAGTTGAAATTCAATTTCAAGGTGTAAAAAAGTAAATTTATAGTTGTGAATTTAAATTGAAATATATCTATAGTCTAGTTGTTAAGAACAAGTTCTAAGGAAACATTGTCCATTTGAACAATAAGCTTGATTTCTGTATGGTGGTTTCTCATTCACTTCATTGCCAACAACAGCTTTTTTATTTTGTAATACAGAAAAGACATAAAAAAATATCGACAACACATAATGAACATCACTGCCGTCGCAGTACCCAAGAAGCTGTTGATTTGTCAAACTCAAAAGAGATCGTTCTAACCAGTTAAGTCTCGGCTTTAACCCTTTCACTCCCACAAGTGACCAAGACGTTGTTTCTCCATTCAATGTAAATACAATTTCAAGCAGACAAGTGATGAGAATAAAGAAAAATATCAATAAGGGGATTATCAGTTGATCCAATACCACACTCAAAGGGTTAAAGTTCTACATGTAATTCCTAAACAACAGATTTCCTTTAATACAGGTTTGGAACAAGATAAAAGGAAGTCCCTTTGCTTTAAAACTATTTTTAATTAGCCTTTCTATAAAAAGGTTTTAAGTAACCAATCAACAGCGAATGACGTGGAAAGAGAAAGTAAAATACAATCCATTTTAACCCTCTAATTCCCTACACGTTTTCTCGTAAGTTGGTTTGAAGAATTTGGTTTAAGACCACAATAACTTCAACCTGATAAGTTTGAGTGTTCTCGTTACCTGTTGGCTGGATAATGTAAAGATATTACAGGGAGAAGTTTTGAGTCACTCACTGCTGGATGTTGAAGGGTTAAGAGGTAACAACAAATATCTTTTGTTATTCCAATGCTCTAAGCCAATCAAAACACTAGGAACTACACGTGTAAATTAAGGGAAAGTAAAGTCACTGTCATACGATTTGATTGGCTGAGAGAGGAAGCAAACCCTCGAGTTTATTGGGTTCAAAATGGGAACAAACGAAACTGAAGATCATGGCTATCAAATGGGCGACGTATCGATGGAGAACTTTTTAAGTGCATCTGAAACGGACGTCGTCTTGTTTTGGTAAAACTCTATGGGCAATAGAGACATGTCTTGTTATGCAAGTTTCTCCAATGCATCAACATCATTGGTCTCGAGAAGTGTAATTTTTCTCCCAAAATGTACCTCAATTTTCTTCATGGTTGCCATAGACCGCTGACCATCAATAAAGTTCACTGCGATGCCACTCTTGCCAAACCTGCCTGTCCGACCAATTCTGTGTAGGTACGTTTCAAAATCCGGTTTGCCTGTGGGCTCCACTGGCATGTCGTAGTTAACCACAACTGTCACCTGCGAAAGAAACCCAAATCTTATCATTCAACTGACAGCTTTTTTATAAAGATCTCCTTCCCCTCAACTTAGGAAATATGCCCCCTAACCCTGTAAAAGCATGCATCACTGACACTAGCTTTCAGCAGCACCCCCCCTCCCACCCCTTGCTGTATTGGCTAACCTTTCTTTCACTTTTACAAGTTAATTTCTCCAAATAAGGGTGTAACCAGTATTGATGCTTGGGCAGGAGAGATGTTTGCCAGGAAGAAGTCCTCCACAAGAGTCTTCCAGACATTTGGGAACACAACTCATTGTGTCACCATGACAAATCATTTTTCTTGACACCCTACGATCACCTGACCTGAAAAAATACCTGTGACTACCGTGGGGTGGGGGGTGGGGGTGGGTTTTTTTTTGGAGGGAGAGGGGAGCTTAACCCATTATTTTTTATTCTGACAATCCATGAATCACTTCAAGTAAAACATGAGCCATTAAAAACCTAACACCTTAATTGTGATAAATGAAACAGCAGAAAGACAGGACCCCCTTAACCACACCTGCTCTCAGTATTTGTGTCTCACATACACCAGCTAGTTCTTTACCTGCTCTACATCTATGCCTCTGGCACAGACATTTGTTGTGATGAGCAACTTCTCCTTGCCATCACGGAATCTGTTAAGGACTGCAATCCTCTGCTCCACTGTTATCTCACCAGATAGCAGTGCCACAGCATGTCCATCCTGGCTCATTTTCTGTGACAGCCATGAGGCTGCCTTACGGGTCTGAAATAATAAAAACCTCTTTTAACTCTTTACACCCAAACCCTGTATGCATATTTTCCATACTGTTCACCTTGCATTCTTTATGGCACTAACAAGGGGAATTGGTTAAACAATCAAGAGCTTCTTTAATTTTATGATCACTTTCTTTTTTCTTGTAACATTAATGTGTGATTCAGGGTTAATATTATAAGGAGAATTTAAATTCTAGTCACTCTCAGGGGTCAATTGGTTGATGTCAAAATTCATCAAGTACAGCCTTAGCAGCACACTTTAAACCTGAACTCAAACTCAGGCAAAGCAATTTCCCCTTAAAATCCTTGGAATGTTGAGGATGATGTGCATTAGGCCTTCAGACCCTTTCCCTTTCTCAAAACAAAATCTATTCCTTTTGCTACCCTGTTTTGTACAAAAAAAAATGCGTACATTGAGAATATCAACATTGTAGAAGTGCATCTAATACAATATAATCCAACAAGATGTCAAGGCCCAGAATCACAGTTCACACATGTGCACTGTTCTATGCCAAAGTTCAAATGCCATCCTAGACTTTTGGTCCAAAAGGGCAGGACACTGTTCAAATTGTAAAATGCACACTAAGATTCAGGACTGTCAACAACAACCATAACCTGTCACAACTGTACCCATTTAGAGTCATTGACTGGTTGACACAGTTCTAGAGAAGAGGATAAGGTTTGGCAGTGTTAACCATACTTACCTGGCAGAACACAATACACTGTCCTATAGACACCACTCCATACATGTTTGAAAGGGCCTGAAATTTCTCCTCTTGACTCCGACACACAACATAGTACTGTTTAATGTTGTCTAAACTCTCCTCTTCACGACGTAATCGAATCACCATTGGACTGGGTACGACAGACTCTGCAAACTTCATCACCTCATCATCGTATGTTGCAGAAAAAAGCAGCATTTGACAGTCTTTGGGTAAAGTCCTTGGAAACAAAGGAACATTGCTTAATACCTTAATCAAGCTCTTGGGGATATTCTGAGATAAGGAAAGTAAGGGAACAATATCTGCACTGTACATCATCTCATTGACAAGTGGGGAGATGTTAGTGTGCTGGAATCTGGCTCAAGAGTTCCTGACTTGTGACCTGGCTGAGTCATTTAGTTTTTTCCAGGATAGGCCATGTTAATCTCAAAGTGCCTGTCTCCACCCAGGAGTATAAAAAGGTTGGAAGTGAACTGTCAAGGAAGCCTGATGAAATGCTGCGCAGTAACCCTGTGGACTGAAATCCCATCCGGGGGAGAGTAGCAATATTTCTGGTCACTTCTTGCTAAGAAGGCTAGGATAAGCTCCAGTACCTTGTAGGCCACTTGGATTGAGTGCAGACTTCAACTTTTACTTATCTCATTGCAGCCTACACTGATAAGCTGACCTCTAGATGGAGAGGTTCAGGTTCAAGCTCTAGTCTTAGTTTTGCTGGTAAGAAACACAGTTTCCCCTCACAGTACTTTGGACTTACACCTAGTGATATCAGGGACATAAGGTAAAGTTTGTACTCAAACCAAAGGCTCATCCAGCAGCAGCTTTTTCATTTGCCTAGAATGAAACAATTTGGAGGATTATGGATGCCAGTCCATTGTGAGGTAACCCCCCACCCCAAAATTTAATCAGGCTTTCCAGACCATTTTCCAGCACCTATTTGTAATCCAGGCTGGAAAGAGGCACTGTGAGAGTAAACTATTTTGACCATGAACACAACAAAATGATGCAGCCAGGTCTTAAACCTGCACCTCTGAACCCCGAGTCCAGCGCACTGACACTGCATCTCCCAACTGTCAGGGAAACCTTGTGAAATGCTTCACATGCCACCATTCCATCCAAAGGGGGAGGGGGAGAGAAGCAATACGTCAAGTCACTTCATGTTACAGCGACCTATCCACCTTAAATATGAAGCTCAAGACTTACTTGTGTATTCTAATTGACTGATCTTGGTGTCCCTGTAGAGCAATCATGACATCAGCTTCATCTAACACAAACATCTTGATTTTCTTTGGATCCAGAACTTTGTGTCTTAAAATCCAGTCAAGGAGGGTGCCAGGTGTTCCAAATATTATGTGATCTGTTACTTTCTGGCCTCTTGAAACTGTTAAAAAAAGAATGGTTCTGTTATTAATGTAACAGTAAAAAGGCTGCTCTTTTCAGATTTACATTTGGCAAGAATTCGCTTTGCTAATAATTGCACGTCTTTTGTTTCAAGGGAACTCACTAAATCAGTATTTCTTGGCTATTAACCCTTTGACCCCTGAGAGAGATGAGCATTTAATTTCTCCTTACAGTATCACCCTGGATCACACATTAAGGTCACAAGAATTAAGGAAATGATCACCAACTAAAGAAGCCTCTGATTGCTAAACAAATTCTCCTTTTCAGCACTTAAGAAAATGTATACAGAACAGTGGAGAGAATTTTCATACTGATGTAGGGTGTAAAGGGTTGGCAGTTCTATTTTTTTGATAAAATTTCTCACCTCTTTCTCCTCTTACTGCATAACCGATTTTGATCTCTGGACAAAACTGTCCCATTTTTTCAGCAACTTGGCCTGTTTGTAATGCCAGCTCATATGTTGGTGATAAACACACCACCTGAAAACAAACAACATGAAACCATGGAAAATGGTAACTGCTACATCAAAATCAGTATTTTTTTTCACCTTCATTTTCATTAACCCCCTGCACACCTCTAATTACATCAAATACATATTTGACAAGAACATTTCAATCAGCATGTGTAAAACTTAACTGTGAAAAAATGCATTTTTTATCATTTTATAATTATCTTCCTTCATCTGAAAAATCAAGAACTTTTAACCATCCATTTGGAAAATTATTACTATGGTATTATTAAAATCACCAAGATAGAAATAGCCTGTAGAACAGGCATAATTTTGGCAAGCAAGTGCTCAGTATTTTCTTGGTGAAAATTACTGCTGCCATGTTTTGATTTTTACAGCAGTGGAAGGCTGGAGAGAGAAAGAAATCTGTAATAAAGGGGGTGACTGACATCCATTGGATTAACGATCATGAGTTTGTAACGTTAACTCCCCCTAATAAGACAACTGCATTGCTGGCTATGATAGAAATATGTGGTTATCTACTTGTGTGTAGGCCTTTGTAGCATCAACTCGGCTTAGCATAGTCAACACAAAGGCAGCGGTTTTTCCAGTTCCTGATTGTGACTGAGCAATCATGTTACTTGGCCTGAAAAAAATAGAGAGATGATGCAAAGCAATTATCAAATCCTTGCAAGAAATACACTACTGTGGCATGCTGAAAAACTATTGGATCTTCCCAGTAAACTCTCACAGAGTCTTTCTTCATGGGATAATTTGCTACACTTGATAAGTGTATCCCAGCCAAGGGGAGCAATATAAAAACAGGCATAGAAGGCAGGGTAAGCTCTTCAGTCTTGATTGAATCATGATGAAAAATCTTACTATGCCCTCTTGTAGGCGGACTTTACAAGTACAATCAGGCATCATTTGAACAGGACATGCATAAATTCATTTTAATCATATGACCTGCGGTGTTTCACAAGGGTTGCCAGCCCTGAGAAAAGTGGTAACTACACATGTGTAAAATTAATATTGCCAATTAGTTGCAGACACATCAGCTGCTGACATACCATTCTGTCAGACCTGTCAGGTTGATAAAGGAATGACAGAGCATTTGCCATTCATTAAGTCATAATATATAGAGTTGAACACTTGCAAAGAAGTTCAATATCTACACTGGCCCATGTGTTATTCTCTAAGTAAATAGAAGTATCTTTTTTTTTTCTTAAATGTCTTTTTGATATTCCACAAACAAGAAACAAGCACATTATAAAATTCAACGAGTTAACACTATTTCAAAACGTGTTTTGTGAATACTCACGGGTCTGCTAAGAGCATGGGTAAGGCTGTTTCTTGAATTTTGGATGGTTTATTAAAGCCCATGGCATAAACTCCTTTACGCAGTTGTTCAGACCTAAAGGAAAATATTTTTCATAACATTTAGAGCTCAATCTTCAAGCCAACAAAATCAGAACTAAAAGTATCATTAATAATCATAAAGAAAGTTGTTATGACAATCACAAAATAATTCAAGTTAAAGCAACAAATTTGGGGTCCAAGAGAACATCTGGAAAACATGCTTCAACCATCAATAGGTTAAAACTAGTAATAGAAAATTTCAAAGTCTGTATCAAATGCCTAAGCACTAAGCTAACAACAACCTAACAAAAGAACAAATTTCCAGTTGATTTACATAAAAATTGTACACATTGAAAGTCTGACAGGAGTGAAAAAGATACTGGTTGAACAATATCAATATATGATCAAACATAAGTCTAAGTTAAAAGATATGATATACATATCATTTCATCTGAAATTATTGGTAAGGATTCAAAGAATTCCTGTTTTCAATGTAGGAGAATTTGTGCATGTGCGCATTTGTTGGAGAAACCAAAATGCAGCAACTTTCTCAAGACTCCACTAGCAGTTTATTGGATTTCTTTTAAAAAACATTTTTTTCACAATTTGAGTTTCTAAACTCAGGGTGTGGCATATAAGGGTAATTTAACATCAGTCTGCATTGGAGAGACAAATTTCAATAAATGTTAATTTTTGCTTTAAAAAAAACTCAGAGAAAGGTTTGCTCAATTTATTTGATTCTGACTAATATTGGCCAATATCTGACCAACCATGTTTTGCAAACAAATCTCAAAATCTCAAACCATTGTTACCATTGCCATTTATGGTTCAGTTTTCCCACCCCTAGCTGACATTTTCCTTAAAACACAATAAAATTCCATACACATTCTGTTTTTCGATTGTTTATGAGTCTCACAGTGAAGAAAACAATAAAAGAATGTCCTCATGGGATTAAGCTTTCTGTAAATTCAAATCAAGACTTGAAATGAAGGCATACATACAGAGGTAATTCATCAAATGACTTGACCGAGTGAAGTGGAGAGTTTGGATCATTCCTTTGCACTTCAACTTCATTCTTATTCTGGACCAGTTTATTCCTCAAAACTTTGATTAATAAGGAAGCCTCTGCCACAGCCTCTGCAGTCTCTGTTGAGTGAAAAGTCAATAATAGCATTAGCATACCAGTGCAATGGTGTCCAGCTATCTATTTTATTGCAATTGGTCAAAGATTGATGCGACAAGATGCAACCAAAACTGTAAAAGTATTCTTGTCAGGTGAAATTCTTTAAGTTATCTTATTTTTCTCACCAACATGTCACATGCATATCATACCATAACTAGTAATTTTATGCAACTCATGTTAATTTTGCAAAATTGCTTCATTTTCTCATTGTATGTGTTCATGATGTGTGTGCATCCAATAGAACACAAAAGAGGGGAATTTCTCCTGATGCAATATTTAAACTACTACATTGAAAATCAATCCTTTAACCCTTTAACTCCCAAGATCTCTTTAGTAATTCTCCTTACTGTCTGCCATACAGTTCTTGTGATGTTAGTTTGCAGAATTTGGTATTAGATCACCTTATAATCCCCTAACTGATCTTTTTCTTTATTCACATTACTTGTTTGCTTGATATTGTATTGATATTGTAAGGAGAAATTCTGTCTCAGTCACTTATGGGAGTTAAAGGGTTAAAATCTGCCTTGCTCTGAAAAGAGGGCTCCATAGGTCAGTCATTGTCTGTGCATCAAGAAAATTTGGTTTTATCAACTGAGTTGATAATGTAATTGGCCATGGTAAAGAGTTTCAAAGCTGACGTTCTGAACATTAGCCCTTTAGTTTTTCTTCGTCAGAGCAAAGGATGAAGAGCTAACTCCTCAAAAAATCAGCTTTTAAACTCTTTATGGCAGACATTTTACATTACAAACTCAGTTGATAAAACCAAAATTAACTTGTTATACTCCCCCTGTGATACACCACCATAATTTCTTTGGAAACTTACCTCCTTTATGTTTGTATATCAGCTGCATATTCATTGCTATACATCTCAATTAACCCTTTAACTCCCATGAGTGACCAAGACAAAATTTCTCCTTACAATATCAATACAATATCAACCAGATAAGTGATTAGAGTAAAGAAAAATATCAATTTGAGGATTACTAATTGATCCCATACTTAACTCTCTGAACTAACATTAAAAGAATTTTATGGTTGACAGTAAGGAGAATTACAAATTTAATCTGGGAGTTAAAGGGTGAATATTGATAAATAGTGAGTAACACTGGGATCATAGGGTCATGTAGCTCTATGTTATAAGGTGAATCATACCATTGTCATCTTGAGGTGGTTTTTGTTCAGAAGGTGATACAGGATTATTACTGTCAATTTTGAGTTTATTGACCTACAAGTGAAGATATCAAAATAACAGCAGTCTTATCAGTCTTATTTTATTATAATGTATCACACAATTACCTCATTCTCTAAGAGCAGGAAGAATGACTGATCCATTCAAATATTGTGAAAAATAACTCTAAGTGATCAAGTACAGCTACACTTGTATTATTTGGCAGACTGAAAAAGTTTCAAAAGTAGTGAAGAACTGGAAAACAATAAACGGATTGTTTGTCATGCTGTTTCGCAGAAAACACAGTTTAATATGTGTTAAACCTTGAGTTCTCATAAATTTTATGTCAATGAATGAATCCTGTGTCATTCAAGTGCCTCTGCACATAAATTCTACCGAACTAAGAACTTCAACTTTTCCACCGGGTAGTAAGTTCACTATGACTATAGATGCCTTAAAGTTCCTTAGACACAAACTATTTTCCAAGAATACGAGTTCAGTTACTTCCGCAAATAAACATGGCTCTCTTTTTCCCGGAAAGCAAAATTTTGCTTTGCCGTGCGTACATAGCTAACAGTTAGCTGAGCTGCACACTGAGATAGTTCGCCGCGAAATACGGACAGAAAAAGAATAGGATTATCCAGAACTACTTGGCCTTTAACACTTCACACATTTCCCTACCTTAGTTCAGGTCACAGTTCGCAAAAACTATCATAAAACGTGACAACACATGCTTCGAAGCCGGAGATCTCAGCAAACCGATTCTATTTTTCCCACACGTGTCTCAGAGATGAAGCTTGTCCGCGTGCAAAACACAGCTTACCTGGCCAGAGATTTCACGCTCCTGTTCGTCTACTTCGGCTGCCCAGTCTTCATCAGCCATTGCTACATAAAATTTAATCTGAAATTAAAAAATCGATAAAAGTTTCCGTCGACTATCCAAACGAGGTTCGCATGTAACGATGATCAGTCAGAAAATTGCTTCCGGTGCGTGAGGAGATTGGAAACGAGAATTCCGTTCGATTCTAGGTCGATTCGAGATCGAGCAATTCCCGAGTCATAACAAGTGCAATTTTCCATGAAAATATAGCTCAATTATGTTGTTTGCTATAAACTGGAGAAGATTTTCAACCCTGTAATCAATAAAAATATGTTTACCACTTAGGTCAATCAAAATTCTGTGTTAAACAACAATTAAGAGGAGCGGAGATTTCTGTCGATAGTCCTTCGGGAATGCTCGGAAGTTGCTTAGCAAAGTTTGTAACAAGATGGCGCTGTTATCTTCTGCTTGAATAGCAATCCCGCAGAGAAAATTGTAAGAGACAATTCGTTACGCGGTGATGGCTAAAATCCCAGTTTCCTCTGAAGTGAGACGTTTCAGCGAAGGTAAAAAAGATTGTGAAATACATTATAGAACGTGATCATGAAAATCTAACAGTTGAGATCAGTGTCAAGAGGCCAGTTAAACATCAACAAGAATCAGGAAATTCGATAGGAAATTTAACGACATACTGCTGTAGAAAAATACACTCGTGACAATTTAAAGCAACCACAAGATATCAGCTTTCAGTTTAGATTCGAACAAATAAAGGTTGGGAAAATGCATGAGAAAAGGTAAGTGAACACAAAGTGCTTCAGGGATCTGAGGAATCATGATCAAGAGAAACGATTTTCTGTGAGATTAAGTCTGCCCACTTTGCTATTTCTCTCTCTGAAATGCAGGAAATATTTAATTTATGGTGTTGTCTTTTTTGGAATAAACTTCTTGTTATTTGGATCAAGCTGTTTACTCCAAAACAATTAGAATTGGTTAAGCTCTAAGGGAATGCAAAAGGTAAGCACACGTAGTAGCTGGAAATTTTTATTTCTTTTTTTTAGGGAAGTATGGAAGCCGGCCTCAATCACGTGCTGGTAACAGACCTCCCAGTAGCAGATCTGTAGACAGTCCCTTACCGGCGTATACAAACGATAAGACACAGGCAGCCCAACACAGAACTAATATAATACAAAGTCAACCTCATGTCAGAGGTAGTTTGTTACGTCGTCATACTTCAGAGGACATTTCACATGGACATGAGTTTTCATTAGGTCATGCATCATTTGTTCCACGACCTCCTTCAAGGACCTCTTCAGAAAAATTAGAATGTCGACCTAAGTCAGCTAAGGGACGATTACGCCCCAGATCTGGACTCAAAAAGGAGAGTATAGCTTCAAGAGAGAACTTTCAGGTTGTTGGAGAGCAAGCATCTTTCCCGACACCACTGAGATCACAATCATCATTTTCAAAGTACAAGCCACTTCCATCAATTGGTTCAGGTCAGAAAGTTGAGTCAGACTCAAACAAATCACAACTTGTTCTGGAAAAGACATTTGATAATAGGGATGATAGTGTTTTGCTACAGAAGACAGCTACTCTTTCATTAGAAAATTCACTTCCCAATGAACCAGATGATTCAGAACCTGGAAGAATTCATCTGGCTATAAAGTTATTAGATGGATCACGTCATGAAAGATGGTTCAGAAACACTGAGACACTTGGCACAGTGCTGGCCTTTGCTCAGTCATGTAGTGAAGTTAGACTCCCTCTTTGCCAGTTCTTTACCAATGAGGTACCACGACAGGTTTTTAATAACTTTGATGTCAGTCTGACACAAGCTGGTATAAATTCAAGAACAGTTCTTCACCTGGAAGACATATAAGCATAACTAAGTGCATTTTATAAAGTACTGGCTTGCAATACAACCTTTTGAAATTACCATATTTTGGATAAAAGGTGCTTATGTGGGAAAATGACAGAAGCACAGTGGCAAAGAAGGTATGATACAGGTCTACACACCACATGAGTAGGAAGGCAAGTACCATCATGTACTGTTCATGAAATTTTATCAAGATTTACAAATGCAAATTGTAAATGAATGTCAGCCAAGGGGAAGAAGCATTGATTTCTTAATTGGACTAACTTGAAAGGCAGGAAAGTGTGAAATATTACTGCAGAAGTCTAAAATATCTCCTTCTGCAACTGATCAATCATGACAATTGATCAATCATTGGGATTGGCAAAACGGAAGTGGCAACAGTCATGGTATTGTGTAGATTTATTTAAAATCAATAAAAAAAAATTCTTTTAAGATAATGTGTCAATCAATTCGAAGCTTCACATCCCCCTAGGCAACCCACTCCCCGGGCATCCCTCCTGGCATTAAAACTTTTGCATATTGGTTTGTTCAAATTCCACCCCCCCCCCCCCCACACAGCAAAGATTATGTTCAAATGCCCTACCCAAATTTGTTGTAAAAGGCAAATTCAGCAATGATGACTTTTTACACCTCGACTAAGCTTTTAATCCTAGACTTTGTAGACCTTTCATTCTGAGCCATTAACTTGTAAATGCCTCAAACACCTCCATATTTACAGATATAACACTTGTACTCTGCTGGAATGAGTTGACACTTGCTTTTCAAATTTCCAACCCTCCTAGGTTCAAATTCCTCACCCCTGAGCACAAACTTTGGTCAAATGCTTGTGGGGGGATGTTGAAGCTTCAAATTGATCACAGGGCTATAGTGTCTTAAGTTATTTAGTAGTTCTAAATCAAATTATTATATTTGTGACAAGTTGGTGTTGTATTTTCTTGTTGGTAAGATCTCTTTTTGTGCAGAAGCAATTGAGGTCAAATTCTGTTGATAATTGGTTTGAGTGATATTTATTTGATTTTATAAGTTATGAAATTCTTACAAAATCAAATTATGGCTATGCCATCTGAGGTTCAGTCAACAAGGCTCAAAATTTCAGAATTTCTGAGGAGAAATAATTTTTCATTATGAGCTCTAAGTATCATTCAGAATAATCATTATTTTTACATTTTGCAAGGAATTATGAGTCAGTATTTAACCTATGACTCCCATGACAGACCAAGACAGAATTTCTCCTCCTAATATCACTACAATATTAAGCAGACAAGTGATGAGAATATAGGAAATGTAACTTACAGGATTATTAGTTGATTATATACCAAATTCTCTAAACCATTATTTTAAGAATGGTAAGGCAGACAGTTAGGAGAACTACTTATGAGATCTTGAGGTTAAGGGTAAAGTAGTGCACTTTGTGTTCTTTGTATAGGGGGACAAAACAAGAACTGAATATTTATACTTTGTAAATAGAATGTGAGAGATGGTAAGTTTTGAGCTGGTAAAGGAATAGAGAGAGATGTTTTTGTTGTACCATGCTCGTGACAAGACTATGAAATTTTATATATAATCATGTTATTTATTCCATCAAACAATTTGTTCTGTTTGTGCCTGATTACTTCCCATGCTTCCTGTGGCTGCAAAAATGCATGTTATTTGTCAGAGGACAGTAATAATCTTTTCATTCTTTCAGAAAAGTGTTTGCTTTTCAGATTAGACAGTGTGTGTAGAGATATTATTGAAGCCTATAATCCATCAAATATTTTTGCTAATTTTTTTTGGTCTAAAAGCATCATGTGATCAAATATGCCCTAGCTAAAACTGGGGAATATCTGGTGATATACCCCAAGTGATATTTACCAATTTTCAAACTTTATGTCCAATATGATAAAGGTCTTCATACAAAATTCAATCAATATAGAAGATTGTTTAGCTGTTATTAAAGTAGAAAGGACATGCCTGGTTGTTCATTAAGTCATGCCAGAGAACACAGAGAAGAAAAAGTAACATGCAACAAACAGTGTGGTTGTTTGTAAACATTTTTCTAGTGCATTGCAAAAATATTTGATGGGTAATAAACACAGAAGCCATCATTTGGAGCAAAAATTTTGCGCTTGTATTTGTTGTTGGAAGTTATCTGTTCATTGAAGTTTGTAATTTTTTTTTGGCTTTGCTATCCGGAAACTGTTTGCATTTTAGAACAGATCATGTCTGCTGACAAATATCTGTTGATATATTAGCACTGAGTGGAGGCTGTTGTTTATAAATTGTTTTGTCTATATACTTTTTTTTTTCAGGACCAAGTGTAGGATATTGTCTAAGTCTCTCTGAAATATTCTTTTTGCATTAAATTTTGTAAATACCAACAGAAATACCCTTAATTTATTGGTTAACAGAAAATTCAGTTTAATTTATTCAGTTGAGTAGCAAATATGTAACAACCTGTTGTGTGTACAATTAGTGACTGACTAATGTTTGATGGGAAAAAAATAAAATTAAATCCTTTCATCTCTGAGAATGACTAGCATTTAATATCACCTCTGAATCACACATTAAGATCATGAATATAAAGTACAAGGTCTCCAACAAAAGCTACTTGTTTTTTAATAAATTCTCCTTTTCAGCACCTAGGGAAATGTATAGAGAACAGTAAGGAGAATATGCATGCTGATGTTAGGGTGCAAAGGGTTAAAGTAATTGTCTGTTTTTGATGATAACTAAAGAAATGCTGCTCATTATTTCACCTTTTAAGAAACGAAAATGATTTAGGAAAAAATTATCTGAGACCAGGGTACAAGAAAACTTCACCTTTGAGTGGAAAAAAAGTTTAGGAACGCGATGACTTAGTTCCGCAAGATCTTGGGCATTATTTGGGCAACTCTTGGGCACTAATTAACAGGCCCAGGCAAGTTAGGGCTTGTTGTGGTATAACGTGCGTTTTTATTGGTTGGTGAAATGTATAACCAATCATAACACGTGTTACAAAGGGGATTACATCACCATCTTTTCTTAACCAGGGTTCCCCTGTGTGCTCACTTTCTTGGTCTCCCGATTTCCGAAGATGCGATCGCTATGAAACTTTATGTGTTTCTCCATTTTCTCGCGGTAAGTACACCTCTTTTGCGTTTCAGGTAGATTATTTTGTTACTTTTTGCTGCATTGTGAAGTTTTAAATAGTTTGAGTGCAGATTGACATTACGTGATTTGTGATTCTCACATGGCCCCCGTGCAATCAAACTCAGCTTGCACACCCACTAATTTAGGAACGCCGAACTCATTCTCTAACTGTATTTGTTTTCTGGACCGGTTATAATGAACAATCTTATCTTTTTTCGTTCATTTTGGAAGCTTTTGAGAAGCTGTTGGAATGTGCATATCGCATCATAAAATTTTATGCTGAAGGAAGCACGTTCCTTCAAATGCTCTTTTGACCGCTTCGGATCATCAGTTAGAATTAGTAACATGCTCTGGCGTGTCCCATGCGCAATTTAAGGAGCTGCACGATCATTTAATCGCAATATTCTGAAGAAACAAAGTTGTTCAATGTTGTATTACACTAACAGCTGTCAATTACACTTCTCATCAAATCGAGTAGAGTTGTTTTGGCTTGAAGTTTAACAACTCCTGTCGCGAAAATTCACAATCCGCTCTTCACCTTAATTAAAGAGTCGTAAATTTAATTCTTCGCAATTCAGTTCACCTCGTGGTTAACGATTTCTGTTGCTTTATTGTGTGCGAGATTTGTGGATTTTTAAGGTGAAATCGCATCGTCGGAAATTGTACAACGATCTGTCACAGATGAGTAATAATTTTGTTTACATATGCGGAATTTTTCCTTGTAGTTGCTAACATTATCATAAATTGGAGCGGAATTTTAAAAATTTCTCTCCCTAATATTCCACACCTGTCGTTGAAGTAGGGGTGCCTCTTTCATACGCTGTTTCTTCGCAGTAGTTACTTGGGTCAACAGTTACTGAAACTTAATTCAAAAGTTCTTCCAAATAGCTTAAATTAGCCTTCTGTTCTTTTAATAGACTTGCCTTCCTAATCATTATGCATATTTCTTAACCGTTTTCATGCATTTTTTTTTTTGTGGAAGCTGTAACGGTTCTTAGTTGAAGTGGCATAAAAATATTTAATTCTGTGGTAAAGAAATATTGATGAGATGAAATCATAATTTTCCCACTCATCCTAACAGCTGGCATTGTTTGAGACTGTCAAAAGATGGTTGGAGAAAGTTCTATTCAAGCAAATTTTCATAATATTTTGACAACAAATCACCAAACTAAACGTCAACAGGAAATTAAAGTATCCTGAAACTCCCAGCTTTGTTTTATTCAGAAAGTTACCCATCGTAACTATTGAATCGACAGAATATGACGCACCTATACTTAGCAAGCTCTCAGTTGTTTTGATTTTAATTATTTGGTCCGATGAAGTTTTTCGAGAATGTTTAACTTCTAGTTAATATTATAAACTCTCTTGCATGGTTAACAAAACAACTTCTGTTTACATCAATCTACCACATATTCAAACGCGCAGTGCAAGGCAGAGAGAATTTCATTCAAAAAGCTTTTTCTGTGGATAGTAGGGTCTTAATGTTTATTAAAAGTATGCAAATCTGTAATCATTTGAAGCCCATAAAACAAGAAAAATAAAACATCTCAAATCTTGGCTTTTACTGAGTAGGCAAGTGACAAGTATAAGTTTCTTGCTTTACATATTCATATAACATAGTCAGTTTGACTCATGGTAAAAGTGAAGTAAAGTTCATTATAATGTCAAATCTTTTGCAGTTTGCTGGAGAATTGGCCCTTGGATCTAAGTGCCCACCAGACCAATTCTGGGATGGCAGTATATTTAGGTGTCAGGATTGCACCAAATGCAGTGAGGGTGAAAAACTGATCTCTCCTTGCCAAGAGGTTAAAGATGCTTCTTGTGAGAAGTGTTCAGAGGTATGGTAGACTGCTGTTCCTAACCTGGGGCCTGTTTCTCAAAACCCTTGGTAGTCACTAGTCCTGAAAAGCTAAATTTTGATTTTTGTGTGTTTTTGTTAAAGATGGAGAAATTAATGGTTTTGACATTCAAGCAATGAAAATATCAGAAAGTGTAATAAAATAGACTGGTTTTGAGCTATGACCCACAATACTATCCCTTACATTTAGCAACCAGTTTCCCTGCAGTTCAGTGTGGTTTGTGAGGCCTGTTATAGCTGTCTGTTTAGCCAGCAAACAGGCTCTTATGCTTGGCTTTTGCCTTACTTTCCCTCTTGCAGGCACAGCAGCTGATTCACTTAAGGAAAAGGTTATTTAGACCCCTGGATTTCGATTTTGAAACATGTTTTTGAGCCAGTTAACCCTTTCACTCCCAAGATCTCACTAGTAATTCTCCTCACTGTCAGCTGTACAATTTGTATGATGTTACCTGAGAATTTGGTATTGGATCAAGTAACAATCTTCTAATTGATACTTTTTTTTATTCTCATTCTTGCCTGCTTGACATTGTATTGATAGTGTAAGGAGAAATTATGGCTTGGTCACTCATGGGAGTTTAAGGGTCAAGTTGGGGGAACTTTTGAGAAACAGGTTCCTTCCTTCCTTCCTCAAATTTCTTTTTTCTTAGGCTTGAGAATTTGATATTAGGTCACAACCTCAATTTTAAATCTAATTGTTTTGTTTTTCATAATTTCTGCCTTCTACAAAATGAGGGGATGCCCAGAAAAAAAGCACCAATGAGTTCCTATTAACTGTTACATTCCCCTTCCAAAATGTTTTGTATTGCTTTGTCAAACACAAGAAGAATTTGATTTTGCATCATTCAAATGTCTTCAAGGGTGTTATGATGTACACACCACTTTAATTTTCAATGCTGCTTGGGGAGAGGTACTGTGCTAGTCATCTCTGAGAATAGTTGAGTTTTGAGCTCAACTTTGTCCCAAATTTTAATAGTATTCCCTTCATACTTCTAACCACCCCTGTCTGTCTTTGCCAACATTTCTCCCTGTAGAATTTTCTGTTAGAGTCAGTCTTGTCTTCTGTAACATCTGTTTCAAATTTCAATTTGGATCTGAAAATATGGTGCTGAAACAAAAAGTGCCTCTCAGTTGGTATTCTTCTTTCTTTTCATCATTGTTCTGAATAAAATTGTATCAGAAATTCCCTTCTCTTCACTCCGGTTGGTGAAAGGGTTAACATTTCTTCAGATAATACCTTTTATTTTCACTGGTGAGTTCATCTTAGATGAATTAATACATTTATTTCAGGGGACTTATTTGGATGCTGTAAACAAATCATTGTGTGTACAGTGCAGTTATTGTGGAGAAGGAGAAGTGGTATTAAGTAAGTGTACATCTGGGAATGACACTCAGTGTGGAAAGATTCCTGTTCGCCCTCTTCCTTCAAAAAGGCCTCAGGCATCCACTCAACAACCATCCATCCCAACAATGTCAAGTCATTCACACAGAACATTTACATCTCGGAAAGGTATCATAAATGTTTTTCTTATGTCTCTCAGCTAGTAAGTGCATTAACTTTTGTCAATTTAGCTGGCCATATTTCATTGTGCCCCTGGCTGAATACAAAAATTTGTATGAATTGAAATCTTTCGTCAATAAATGAATGCAGAGATGCAATGAATATCTTTCTAACCTTGTTTTTTCAGTCTCTACTGTAAGTATGGACTCTTTCATTCTGATTCATGGTCTTCATGCTTGGCCAGAAATCTGAGTGGGAAAAAGAAGGTCCATAACTTACAGTATGAACCTCAAACTTGGTTAGTATTAGAGATACACTGCTATGAAAAACTTTGAGAGGGATATTTCTTAATATTTATTAATTGTTATCTAATTATATTACTATGTTGTAATCATTGGCCAAGAAGGAGAATATTTCATTAATTAATCACCAATTAGAAATAAACTGAGATGCTCTTCTCCTGCAGAGTCTTTCCTTACTGTCTGATCTTTCAGTACCTAGCTTGTGGAAGTGATAATTATTTGATAAAATCTTTTTTTTCCTTGTTTTTTTTTTCACAGTTGATGAGGAAAGTAAGGTACCAGAATGCAAAGAAAATAGAAGCCAGCTAAATCATCCAGCTTTGTTGGTCACTTTAGGTCTGCTTCTTTTAATATCATTGATCTGCAATTGTGTTTGGTTCAAAGAAAAGATTGGAAAGTGGAGGGGTAAAGATACACCAGTACCAGACAGAACTGTAGACAGAACAGCTCCAAAAGGTTTGTAATTTAATCAAGAAACATATGATACCTAACAATATATTTTGAAAAATTCTAAGATCCTACTGGTGATGCAACAAGCTTTGAACTGTACACCAATTTTATTTATTCTCTAGTAATGGTTTGTACTATGTATTGTTACAGAAAAGCAGATGCTTATCTCGAAAGCTTCTTTTAAAAAAAGTGGAATGACTTAAGTTGTAGTTGGTCTGATTTCACTACATTTTGTATTTTAGTATAATTTTAAGTTAGAACATATTCTGACTCAGTGTAGGTGGGCTTGTGTAAAGTGATATTATCTTATTCTATTGCTTTCATCTTGCAGGGTTTGTAGCTGGGATGTCAGGAACAGCTGTTATTGAAGGTACATGTGTGTATGTAAATGTATAGGGATGTTGAGAATTTAAAAATGTAGGGTGGTTTTAGGTAACTGTTTAACTCCTAAGATCTCATTAGTAACTCTCCTCACTGTCTGCCAAACAGTTCTTGGAGAATTTGGTATTGGATCAACTTATAATCCCCTAATTGATATTTTTCTTTATTCTCATCACTTGTCTGCTTGATATTGTATTGATATTGTAAGGAGAAATTCTGTCTTGGTCACTTGTGGGAGTTAAAGGGTTAAGATCACTTCTCTCTCCTCTCCTTCCTCTCCTTCCTCTCCCTCAATACTTTCAATACTTCTTTAGAGTGATATGATTATGAAAGCATTTAGATTGTTTTGGCATCTGGGGGTCTAAGGCGTTGTTGCTTGGCAATTTTGATTTTCTGTATTAAAATTTTCATTATTGGGAAAATTTGGCATTAAATTTTGAACAGACTTAAACCCTCTAACTCCCAGAAGTGGTTAACATGAAATTTTTTCCTGTAATATCCATACATTATCCAAAAAACAGGTGATGTTAGAAGTTACCTTCATTTAACACCAAATTTTCATAACTCATTTTACTAGGAATTGTGTGACAGCTAGTGGGGAGAATAAATGATCAGATCTGTGAGCTATTTGTGATGTTTTTTTCTGTGTCTAAATCTGTTACTTTTCTCTTATCAGAGAATAACATTAAATTCAGCACCATACCAGCTAACATCACCGAAGAATTAGCACAGTACCTCAACATAGACAGTGGCAACAACTATGTTTATTTGGCTGGAAGTATGGGCTATGACACTACCTTCACAGGTAATCTGAAGCTGTCACCGAGAGAAGCCACCCAAGAGCTTCTTAAAGATTGGCAAATGCGAGATGATGCTACAGTTTACAAATTATACTGTTATTTGGAGGAGTTAGGAAGGGATGACTGCATGGCTGTCCTTCAGCCTCTCCTCATCGGCCAGGGAAGCGACATCGCTATGGTTTGAGTAAGTGTTGCCTTCTCCCCCTACTCTTTGCTTTGAGATGAAGGTGCCAGTTGCTGGACCTCTGCAGGTGGGAAACAGCAGCACTTGCTCAGATGATATTTGTATTGTAGATTTATCTGTCGCAAGGAATCACTGGTAGAGCACTAGTTGATAGAGTGATTTTACACTAAAACCAAGCTAGTTCCAACAACCAATCAGACATAAAGCAGATTGAAGAAACTAGAAATGTCCTCAAGCTTACAATAAGAGGAGTGTCCATATCACAACTAGGTATAGTTTTACATCTGATTGGTCGTGAGAGTGAAGCTAATTTTTGATTACAATCAAACATTACTCTCATTCACTTGATAATTGGCCCGGAAATGTCATGAGCATGTTTTTTTGCTATTAGTGGCATTTGCAATCACTGCATAATTAGATTGATATACGTGATATACGCAATGCTTGCCTTGGAAAGGGAATAGCATATTTTTTTCATGTTTGGTAACTGTTTTTTATGCTTTTTATAAGCTTAAAATTTATTTTCTAAGAAGTAATAATTAATTTTATTGTCCTTCAAGAGTTCTTTACTTTTTATTTTCTTATGAGCGTTTTTGATAAACAGAGTGTTTTGGCTTTTCATGAAAAGTTTTGCTTCCTACCTTTTTGAAAAAGGGAAATTGTTAAAAAAAAGGTTGTTTCACAAGATTTTTGTTTTGTATGGATGTATTTTTGTACGCAAAAAACATATATTGTTGCATGCTGTCGCATATGCTAACACTGTTTTTAAAGAGGCAAACCCAAATTTTAAACAATAAGTATTATTGAATTAAAAAAAGGTACATGCTTATGCATAGTTTACTGCTTTAAATATTTTTAATCTGGATGATTTTGCAAATTGTTCATTCAATAGGTAATTCTGCACACTACTTTGTCGAGAATGAGAGTATATTTTTGAAACTTGAATATTCCAGTTCATGGCCAAAGTGGCCTAGTTTGTAATTAGATTGATGCTGATTTTCTCCTGATTTTTTTCCTTGATTTTCTTAGACAGTGCAACGATGATTTGCATCGCTTAGGTGAAATGAAGTGTACATTCAAATGAATGAATGAAGAATTATTAATTAGATTTATGAGGCTATTTATATATTACTTTCATCATCATCATCATTAGTATTACTGTGGTCACAATTGCTTTCTCATCATCATCATCATCATCATCATTGCTGTCATCAGTATCAATTAATGTTATTGTTGTTGTTTTTGTTTTGTGGTTGTGTGTGTTGGTTGGGGGGGGGGGGGATAATGCTGCAATCAGATGCCAAATAGCATTGAAATAAGTGTAGATCTTTGAGAGATGAGATTGTTCTCAGAGTCACACCTTAAAATACTTTTGAATCACCAGTTATATGTTAATTGACCCTTTCACACCCAGAAGTGATTAACATGAAACTTCTCTCTATAACATCCATACATTATTGAGCAAACATGTAATGAGAATATTCTAACTTACCAGTATCTGGTAGAAGCAGCTATCTTGATCGAGCACCAAGTTCTTATAACTTATTTACAAGGAAATGTGTAGCAGCTAGAGAGGAGAATTAACAATTAGATCTTGGGAGTTATAGGGTTAATAGGCATTTAATAATGGTGTCTAAATTTGTCACACCAATAAAATGTATCATTAGTGCAGGTTATGTTATTGTTATAAGTACTCCTGTTTTTTCTTCCTAAGAACCCACTTGTTTACTTTCTCTGCTTGAATTTGGGCAATCTCAATATATGTATTACATTATGACATTACTTAAATGCTTTGTTAAGTTAATAGTTACTAATGAACTCATACTGTGAATACCTCAAACTTTTCTGGAAATTTTGTTGTGATCGATTACATGGGAGATCAGGACATGCAAACAAGGTGAAAATCACAGCCTTTTCAGGGCTGCTGCATTCTGTTGAGAGTTCTCAAGCGTGGCTGTTTTGTTTTCCGTGACATTTCAGAAAGGTTTCTGGTGTTCAGAATTTGGTGTGTTTCTAAGTAATGTTTTGAAACAAGTCAATTAGATCTGACTGAGGTAAAGTGGAACTAAATGTATGTTATCATGTGTTAGGTTAAAAGCTGCAATTGCTGTGCTCATAATAATGTAAGACCTTCATAAGCATACCTCTTTTAAGTGATCACCTCCTAATGAATATAGACTGCCTAGTACTGTTTGCACTTTGCTTTGAAGGAATGACCATTGCAAAAAGGATCTCTTTTCCTAGAAAACATTCAGCGCTTCAGAAGTTTTTTTTTTTTTTACCCTTATACGCTTTTGAATGACCAAGAAATAATTTCTCTGTACTTTATCAATACAAAATCAAGCAGCCAAGTGGTGAGAATTGACTCAGCAGCAAATTCTCAAAACAAACCTTATGGGGAATGTATGACATGGTAACAATAGCTTTCATGGAGATATTGAGAGTGATAGGATTAAACATCAAAGGCTTTTTGAAGCAGGAAAAGAATTGCAAAGAATTCTTCTGGGAAAGAGGACATTTCTGCATATGCTTGAAAATGAAAAGCACAGCAATGGTTTTAAAGTAATTCTAGCTCGCATTCAAAACATTTCACAAGTCTGAGCAAAAACACAGGTTTCTTGTGTACTCAGCCCCTCATGTGTTTATTGTGAGTACTATGCTTAGAGGTATTTTTCAATGGTTAAGAGCCCCAAAAGCAAAGAAGATAGAATCTAGACCAAAGTATATTTTGGGTCTAGTTGGAAGCTTGGGAGCTCAAACCAAAACTTTTGATGGTGGGGAAGGGATATGTCTTCTGAATTACAAGTAAGGAGTCTAGTTATACCAGCTATTGATCTCAATGAGTTTCAACTTAACCTGCATGGAGACACCTTGCATTAATATTTAATGCAATTATTTAATTTTGGAATTATGTGTATTATATCAATTAGATGAAAACTTTATTATCAAAATCACTTTGTAGAGTTAAGTTTATTAGTTTATCCAAAAGCACAATTTGATTGATTTATTTATTCTTCTTTTGTAACAGAAGATAAATTTATCCTGCAATTTGAACATTTAATCTAATTTTCCAAGAAATGTATCAAATAGTGGAGGATGTTTCTTATGAGTAATTTCTACCAAAATTCAGGTTTCAGGAGTGCAACTGAACCTTGAATGTAACTGGTAGTTAAGATACTAGCAAATTTTTTTTCAATCTAGATTTTAGAGGGAACTTAGACCTCTTGCAGAATGAGCCATTTATCTGTTTTGTACGTAATTGCCAAGCCTTTGATTTGGAGTGAGACTGAAGGTGACCATGTTGTGATAGAGACCAGTATCTGGTTGGCATGATAACCAAGTAATTAATATATGAAAAGCAGCAACATTTGCATCAGAACAAGGTCAACCTTAGCCTCACTCCTGTTCAAAGGCTTGGCAACTAAGCAGGCAACTGTAGAATGGTGTATTGGTTCTACTGATGTGAACTAGTTGTTCTGACCGTGACGACAAGTTTAAAGACAGTAGAGTTTCCATGCAAAAGCAAGACCATGATGACTGCTTTGTGTGCAAATAAAAGACGGTTAATCAGGCCCACTATTGTGAAAGACCTTTTGCACTCTAGCCGACCTGTTGAATTATCTTGGTGAATAATTATCACAATTTATGTGGTTGAAATCACAGGTTGAATGCACTTCCTTGTTCAAAATAAGTAATTTGGACTTCATCCCACTAACCTGTTTATTCTGATTTTGGGTTGTTCTATGACAACTGTCTCTTAAAAGGGCTTTGTGATTATTATTGTTACTATTAATTAATAAAGGATGAGTAAAGCTTTTACTGAAGAGAGGAGATATGTCATAAGTTACTTCCCAGTTAAGTATTAAATCATAATGCAAGGTCAGTTGAGTCTCTTCTCTTTGATGTGCTGAATGTGTGGATTGAACAGTTATTTTGTACCAAGCTTGTGTTAACCCTTTCACTCCCAAGATCTCATTAGCAATTCTCTTTACTGTCTGTTTTACAATTCTCATGATGTTAGTTTGGAGTATTTGGTATTGGATCACTAATAATCCCCAAACTGATATTTTTCATTGGTCCCATGACTTGTCTTCTTGATTTTGCATTGATAATGTAAAGAAAAATTCTGTCTTTGTCACTCATGAGAATTAGAGGGTTAACCCTTTAACTCCCAAGATCTCAATAATTCTCCTTACTGTCTGACATACAGTTCTCGTGATGTTAGTTTGAAGAATTTGGTATTGGATCAACTTATAATCCCCTCACTGACATTTTACTCAATTCTCATCACTGTTCTGTTTGACACACTATTGATATTGTAAGGAGAAATTCTATCTTGGTCACTCATGGGAGTTAAAGGGTTAAGAGGGGAGATGGGAAAGGGGTGCAGGTGGGAAACATTTATCTTAACCCTTTACACCCCAACATCAGTGTGCATATTCTCCATACTATTCTCTATACATTTCCCTGAGTGCCAACTAGGAGAATTTACTAAGCAATTGAAATTCTTCAGTTGGTGATTCTTCCAAATGTTCTCTATATCACCCCAGAATTGCACATTAAGTTCATGAAAATAAAGGAAATGATCACTGACAACGGAAGCTCTTGATTGTTACACAAATTCTCCTTATGAGCACTTAGGGAAATGTCTAAAGAACAGTTTGAAGAATATGCATACTGATATTGGGGTGTAAAGAATTAAGTAGAGCCACACCAATCAAACATTTTTATTGTGATTAATTAACTCTTGGACCTTGGTGTGAATGCACAAACCAAGTAACATTAAACCTGACTCACATGAGAATCAAATTTGGCTTCTGCTTGCCATCTAAATAAACTACAAAAGTACAATGATTCCAAACACCAAAAAACAAGACAATGTATTTTAATTTTTCTCTTTAAAGCATTGGCGTTAATTTACAGAGGTTGATGATGTCCCCACATTTTGCTCCTCAGTAGGATGTGCCATGTGGTCTTCTAACTTCTTCAATGTACCTTGT